AGACAGATTAGTATTTGATGAGCATGTTGCAAAGGACGATGTGTCCGATGGCTTTCTGGTGTTTTACACTTGCAGTTAGTCTATAGTCTGTAGTGTGATGCATGGTTAGCTGACCGTGAGCAGCAGCCTATGTATGGAATGAAGTTTTAAGGTTTTATCAGTCGTCCTCACCTGTGCACATCTGAGTGTATTTTTTCTTCTTGCTTTCACATCTTTGATCCCTCTTATGTGTCCTCTGCACTCAAACAGCAGACTTCATATGAAATGCATTGCTTTGGTTTAGTTGTTACATGTTGAAAAGTTTATTTATTACATTACTTTTCTTTTTTGTTTTTTACTTTGAGTGGAGCTGTTACATTAAAGGGCACACTCCCGATGTCCACTGTGCACACTAAACAAAACCCCGCTCAGAGCTGAAATACTTTAAAGTTAAGACTGGTGTTTTCTCTGTGCTTAAATATGGTCAACAAATCCCATGGGGAAAAAAACAGAACCACAGTTTGTCTGTATGTTTTTCATTACATTCTCACCTTTAATGAACAGAAGAGTATTTGCTCCAAGTGTAGGCACATGAAGGTAGATGAAGTTCAGAAAGGCAAGAATAAAGTCTGAATTTTGGCGGACTAGCTTTCTCTATCTGTTGCAGGTTTGATTTAAAAAAATAAAGGAGAGGAATACTTTTTACCTTTTCACTTTATTTTTCTCAAAATGCAAAGTCAAATGCCAAATCTGTTCTGTGCCATTTGTTTCTTCTGTCAGCCAACCAATCACTTTTTATATGTAAAGCAACCATTCATAACAAATGAAGATGTAACTTTGATTAAAAAAAAACACACCTCAGATATATACTGTAATGTTTAAAAAGAAGTTTATAATTCTTTAAAAGCGGCTTTTATCAATCATGATGAAATATGGGCATTTATTGGGGATTATTTTCAGCGTCGGATGAATCTGCATGTGGATTTGCTGACTGTAAAAATGATTCAAGAAAACAGCAGACTTCACTTTATAAGAGGAGTGACTGAAACAAGTTATCGGTAAAGAAGACACACTGGCAGTTCAAAGTGGGGTGTTTTGGGGTATGCGTCATAGACTGTATATGAGGAATGGATGTAGCCACAATGATGTCATCATTAATTTGTAGACTAACATTTGAAGCCTCCAGTTTGGGATGCTGGAAGAGACCATATTTGGACCAGAATGGGGAGGTGGAGAGGAGTGAGGGGTCAGCAAACACTGTAACTGTAAATGCTTCTTTTTTTTTGCGATTGCGCTTTTCAAAAACAGGCTTTGAAAAGTACTTACCTTCAGAAATAGACCGCCTTCTCCTCAGAGTGATCAACCTAACACTGAATAAAACAGTTTTTCAGGTCGTCATGGTACTGCCTTGTCACTCACATGTAGCTAAGCCTTAAATCCTCCCTCGCTTTCTGACTCTAAATGGGATCATAATTCACAAAATGAGCATCATGTTGTACTAAAGAAAACTTGAAACTACAAAATGAGACAACAAAGTTATTAGGAAAATGTTCACTGAGGGAATAAATCAACTGGAAAGTCGGAGCATTTTTTCATAGACTTCTATGGAATCAGGCTTTTTTTAATCCAGAAGGGTTGGTCATTAGAAAGAGCGTGGTTTGAGGTTCAGACCACTTCTAATATACAGTCTATGTGCAGGCCATGATAACAGTTCAGAATGATGGGATGTGTTTTTCTCACAGGTGGTAACATGTTTGTACGCAGGTGTAACATACAGGTATAATGAACTTGTACAAAGTGTTTCCTTTCAGAGTAAAAGAACAATGTTGCCTGACATGCTGTTCTGTGTATATGTGCTGTATTTCACTATGTCATGGCGTGTATGATGTACACCTGGCAGACAGGACGACGTGTGTGTGTGTCAGGGTTCCCACGTCCTGCTTTTTACAACTCACAGCTTTGTACCAAAACGTCTGACTGCACTGATAATGTCACATCACACTGACGATGTGACACGACACCCTATTAATTAACATGTAACCACCATGACGTAACGTGAAACATTTACAAAGTATCATGTTGTACTAATGGTTAACATGTAACACTGACGATTTAACAGGTTACACTAATACTTTACATGCAACGATAACGATATAGCATGTAAGACTGACAAAATAACATGTAACACTGATGATTTAACATGTAACAATGATGATGTCACATATTACATTGTAGAGGTAATTATAAGTGAAACATATTAATTATTTGTGTAACATGTAACACTGACGTTGTAACATGTAACACTTCACCGTACACTTACGATTAACCTCTAACACTGATGATGAGACGAGTAACAAAGAGGTAACATGTAACACTAATACTTTAGTGCAACAATAATGATGTAACATGTAAGACTGACAAAATAACATGTAACACTAATGTTGTAACATGTAACACTGATGATGTAACATGTAACACTTCACCGTACACTTACGATTAACCTCTAACACTGATGATGAGATGAGTAACAAAGAGGTAACATGTAACACTGATGATGTAACATGTTACACTAATACTTTAGTGCAATGATAATGATGTAACATGTAAGACTGACAAAATAACATGTAACACTGATGTTGTAACATGTAACACTGATGATGTAACATGTAACACTAATGATGTAACACTGATGTTGTAACATGTAACACTGATGATGTAACATGTAACACTCATGTTGTAACATGTAACACTGATGATGCCAGATGTTACACTCATGATGAAACATGTAACACTGATGTTGTAACATGTTACAAAGAGGTAACATGTTGATTAGCATCTAACACTGATCGTTAAACATGTAACAATGAAGGGGTAACGTTACATTGATAATTAACACGTAACACTGATGATGCAAGATGTTACACTGAGGGTGTAACTCAAAACAATTTTAGACTCATACATTTCAGACCGCTCATTTCCTGCTTCCGCTGATTCTGTTTCCGTTTTTATTTTCAAGTTAATTCTCCTAAATCTCTGCAGGACTGTCAGTGGGAACCCTGCTCATCTGCCTGAACATCGTAGCCATCACAGACACACATGCTAGTGCTCCACAACAATAGATGTCACACACACACACAGACACACACACTGATGTCACAGATGTGGTGTTTCTAGTTTCTGCTTCTGTGATTTCCTTTAGTTCGAGTATTTCCGGCTTCTTCTCTTCTTTTCTTCTCGCTGTAAGAAGCCAAAGTAGGAACTCTGTTTGCTTGCAGGCAGTTTTCTGCCACAAACCGTTTTATATTTTAAATGTGTTATTAAAGAAGTGATTGTACTGTTCTGTATCGTTCTGTAGGACAAGTGTTATGTATGCATATTTTAAATAAAGCATTCAGGGGTTCAAAACGTCCTTTACTTTGAAATGTTGTGACTTTATGCTGAGCACAGGATGTTTGTTTATGATGTTTATGAAGCGTGTCTTTCTTTCAGTTTGACTTCAGTGAGCCGCCTCACACAAACCATCAGAGGTCAGGTCATCAGCGTGACGCAGGTCAGAACTTAAAATAACATCAACTTAAATCAAATAAGTGAACCAGGATCAGTGTTTTGGGGTGGCCAATCAGATTTCTGCAGGTTGCTCCCTCTGACTCCGCCCCTGCATTTGATGTTTTCCTGTATTTGACCTTATAAGCAATAGTCTTTGCGGTGTGTTCTAGTGCAACTTTGAGCCAAGACAAAAGGCAGACTTTGCCTTACGTTTAGACAAAGAGGTTCTTATTCCACAGGAGTTAAAACAACTCAAAAATTGAGCCATCTATGTTTGGCAGGTTTCTTTTAAAGGTTTCTTTATGGGCTCATTTACGCCTTTATTTTAGAGATAGGACAGTGGATAGAGTCAGAAATCGAGGAGAGAGTAGGGAAAAGAGCCACAGGTTGGATATGAACCTGGGCCGCCCGCTTGGAGGACTACAGCATCTGTACATGGGGCGTGCACACTAACCACTAGGCCCCCTGTGTGGCAGGTTTCTAAGGCAGTGTTTTAACATTAGCTTACTGTTCAACTGTATTTTAGTCTGCAGCTTTCATAAAATGTCAACGACAGCCGACGTTATTTCTGACTGAAGAGAATTGAACTTTGAAGTGCTGATTAAATTATTCTGCTGTGTTGAAGTTTTGAACACATTTGGTTTTAGTTAAATATCCACGAGGTCAAGCCAAGAACTCATTACGAGAATAACACAGTCTAGATAGTTAAATATATATCGTGTTCTTAAGTATTGTTTCATGTTCAGAAGAGATTATTATGACTCATTCTGAGAACAGAAAAAAACCCAGACACAGTGTCTTTTTTATTATTTTATTTATGAAACATTATAATCTCCCTCAAAAAACAAAACAAACAAAAAACCCAGAAAGTGAACACTTGATGAGACAGTGTGGAGTTGTTCATGTAAAAAGGCCTTTTTATGAGTAGGATGGACCCGACTGTGTCTGATTATCTGTCTGCACACACACACACACACACACACACACACTCACACACTCACTCACTCACTCACACACACACCGTGCTACTCAGCTGAACAGTGTGTGTGTGTTCAGTTAATTAACACAGCATCAGTGCAGGTTTGATCTCACAGTAAAAAAAAAAAAAAACATAGATTCATGCCTGTCCACAGACAGAACAACCTTAGTGGGGCAAAATACTCAATGAACACACACACACACACATAGGCAGAGATGTGTGTGTGTGTGTGTGTGTGTACTGTGTTACAGTGATCTCTGCTGTCGTCACAATAACAGAGTTTCGATCACACTCACGCACTTCTGATTCGAACAAACATAAAAAATGTAGTGGAAGCTCCTGACCAATACTGCAAGTGTTCAGACGACTGAAGGAGTGTATGTGTGTGTGTGTGTGTGTGTGTGTGAGAGAGAGATGAAATCTGTTAGAAGTGTGTGTTCATCAAGGAGGGACAAAGAAAACAAAGCTTAAAATCATTTTCACTACAGATAGATTGTTACTTCAGCTGATCCATATTTATGAATTTAAAAACAAAACATGTATGGTTAGAATAGCGTCATGTAGTTTGTCCAGCAGAGGGCGCTCTGACTCCATAGTTAACAATCCTTCCAGCACTGTATCCATCACGTTCAGCAGATCAGACATATGTTGTATAAAATTACAGTATATTAATTGTTAAATATTTATTCTTCAGTAGTTTTTTTTGTGTCAGCGGCCTCCTGAGGACCTGCACATAAAATATTGTCTTTTATTATTTTAACATAATAAGTTATCAATTTTAAACAGCTGATATTGGTATGTGTATGTCCGCCTGGGAAACCGATTGAGTAGTGCAGCGAGATGTGTAGCCCAAAAAAAACCTCCTTATTTATCTGATACTGTTGTCTGTAAAATCTCTCATTTCAGCTACTGTCTCTTTAAGGCGCCCCCCCATCCCCCCTCCCTACGTGCCCACTTTCCTCCGATTGGCCAACTCTGTCAACAATGATGTTCTGATTATCTGCTGATGTGAGGGCCTTAGAGATGAGGTCTAATATTATTTCATAAACCTATCACTGATTTATATTTGAGATTTAGGCTGGATGGTTTTTTCAGAGAGAGAGAGAAAGAGAGAAAGAGAGAGAGCAAGCGAGCAAGCGAGCGAGAGAGAGAGAGAGAGAGAGAGAGAGAGGCTAGCTGCTGGTGATGTTTCAAAGCATCTGTAAACACATTAGCACTGAGGCTAACACTGGCTAGCATGAATGTGGTTCACATACTTAAAACAGGTAGGATCTCACTAAAAGGATGAACAGGTTAACACAGGCTGGAGTCACCAGGTTTGTTTACATCCGTTTTCATTATTTACATCTTGTGAGGTACCTCACGCTGGCACACAGCGGGTTTTCTCTTCCTATCTTGTCGTGAGTGTTCTATCATTTTTTGGATCTTTCGGTGTGAGGATGTTTGAGATCACAGAGAATTACGATGTGTAGTTTTCTTTATACGCTGATGATGTGATGAAGTGTTAGATGATTAAATGTTAACCTCCGTATTAAAGGTAAACGCTGAGATTGTGACGACAGAGCAGAACTGTACACACACACAGGACAGGATGTGTGTGTGTGTGTGTGTGTAGATTGGGGGGGTTGTCCTGGAGTTTGGCAGCAGGGGGGAATCAGAGAGCCTGATGGGGGCGGGGCTTCAGTCGTTGATCAGAGCCAGGATCATGCTGGACAAAAACAGAGGTGTGTGTTATTTCAGAGCTCGCAGTGTGTGTGTGTGTGTGTGTGTGTGTGTGTGTGTGTGTGTGTGTGTGTGTGTGTGTGTGTGTGTGTGTGTGTGTGTGTGTGTGTGTGTGTGTGTGTGTGTGTGTGTGTGTGTGTGTGTGTGTGTGTGTGTGTGTGTGTGTGTTCTCACCTGTACAGGTAAATAAAGAAGCAGAGCAGGTGGTAGCCCAGTTTGATCATGGCCTCCTTCATGTGGGACTTGAGCTGGCCCCGGTTGTGGATCTCAGTGGGGTCGAACACGCCCATGTTCCCCATCGGGACCTTCACGTACCTGAACAGAACAACCAGAGACCAGGTGAGTCTCTGAACCAGGACAGGAAGCAGCTCTCCCAACTACTGGTGGGTACTAAGAACCAGTATCTCTTGGTACCAGAACCTGATTGGTCGGTACTGTACCACTTTTTAAAGTTAACATTCCTCCTTTAGATTAAAGAGCCTCGTTCACCTTTACGTCCTTTAAAAACATGAAATGATGCTGACTCAGCAGAGGAAGAGAGACCTGCACATCCGGTCATTACGGACTGAAATGAAGACGTGATATTTAAATCTGAAGATCAAGTCTGTGGTTCCCCTACAGTTATTTGAATAATCAGTGTAATCCAGACTGGGGTCAAACAAAAGGTCAGCGTCAGTCAAACGTCTGACTCTTCACCGCGCTGCGTATAAACTCAAAACTGAGACTCTGAGGCCTCGTCTGACAGGTCGACTCTGGCTGGGTAAACTCACACAGCTGTATTAAACCTTAGAAAGGAAGTACTGTGAAGCTGAAGTCGCGATATCTCACGTTATCCAGGAGGTCGTACAGAAAAGGGAATGTTCTCTCACCTATAAATGTCCCAGACAGCTACAGGCAGGTTGAGGAGGAAGATGAACCAGTGCATGGAGACCAGCATCAGCATGGTGGAGAGACACTGACCCACCATCTCTGGAATCACCCACTGACAACAAACAAAACACACACACAAAAACACACAAGCCATGTTCAAATTTGCACAAAAAGAAAAGTTCCTGAAAATTTCACGGTGAGCTGCATGTGTGAACGTAAACAGCTGATTTTAATCAGTCTGGTTCTACTCAGACTTTATTCCTGCCAGTCAATTAGTTAATTAAGAGCCGATGTGTGAAAGCAGCATGAAAGATTAAGTGGGGGGGTGACGATGACGAGCACAGGACTGAAACGATCTTCATACATGTCATAAAACCGCTTCAGTATTGTTAGGTGGGGGTTGTTTCTGTTTGTATAAATCCAATGAAGAAATCGTGAAACAGACTGGAGATTATAACACCATTTAATCGGCCGAGGTCAGACAACTTCATCAAACAAGCACGCTTCCAAATCACTTGACGGACAAAGTGCTGACAAAGTAACAGTGTTCACAGTGCTGCTTATATTCTGTCAAAAAGGGGCAACCCACAAATTCCTTTCCATTTGGGTACATCACCATAAACAATGAAGATGACATGACACTGATTTGTATACGTAACAGATGTAGACTCTCTGTCTAGCAAACAGTTGCTGATAACATATAGTTGGCTCCTATCCAAACATAGATCTGCTAATACTTAGGTGCTTCACTCATATAAGGTTACAGCTTCAGACACCTAAAGGTAGGAGTGTTAACACGTGGTAGGCAGACTTGAATAATACATTTCACGAAGTTACCAAGATTAATGAATTTCATGAAAATTCGTACTAACACTGATGTTTTTCTATTCACCAGTTTGTTCGTCTCCACTCTTTCATTGATACTGTTAAAACATCAAACTTCACATAGCGTTGATATGAAGGCCAAAAACTGTCATCATGGTGTTGGACTCTTTTTACATCATATCCTGCTTACTCTGGCGGAGTGCCGAGAAGACGATCAAACTTGAGTATCTAGAGGAAGTAAAAGTCGTAACAAGGTTTCCGTAAGTGAACCTGCGGAAGGATCATTACCGGTTTGAGATCCCCGCACCCGAGGCCGCGTGGCCCCTCGGTGCTGGCGGCGGATATGTCAGAAAAAACATTTGTCTAGAGACCCCCCCCACACACACACACACACACACACACACACACACACACACACACACACACATCCTGTCTGACACAGAAAACTTCACACTGTGAGGGTCATGTGTGAACAAGCAACTCAGAAATATTTCAGAGGCAGCCTGCCTGAAATCATCCAGGAAATCTCAGGAGCGCATGTGTGCAAAAAAACAGTAACACACAAAACTGGATCAGATAGATAACAGTTAGAAACGTGGTGTCTCCATAGCAACCATGAAAAAAAGACACTCAGGAATCTGCTTCAGACTCCAGGGTAAGAAACCTGACACGCAACATTACGATCAAACGCAAAACTGTATAAACGTTTCCTCCACAGATCAGGAATGAGGTGACTCACTTTGTTGAGTTTGGAGCAGCATGCTCGGGCGTTGATGTAATCGCACTCCAAATCAGACAGAGTGATGATCTGAGCTCAGAGTCAAGGACACACACAGTACACACACAGTACACACACACACACACGCCGCCTGCTTCCACTTCTATCAGCTTATCATTTATAAATAACTCAGTAAATAATATCAGTGTAAGGCCATGTAACCGATTCTTTACCCACAATAACCCCGTTGAGTTTTGTAAATGTATTTTTAAGGAGCTCTTTTCACCGTTCAGCAGATCAGTTACAGCTTTCAGATTAATTATCACCATAGTGCTGAAAGGGAACTCGTAAACATTACAGAGAACATTGAAATGTACCACAGCTTTTTTTCCAGTCATATTTTTTCCTTATTGTTTTTTTTTGACTTCGTCTGAGCAGAGGTCATTTGATCCGTCCAATAACAGAGCTCAGTTTAATTGTGGTATCTATCTACTTTTTATTTAAATTATACTTTGTCTGCAATCTTTGCTGCTGTAACAATGTTGTAGGATAAATAAAGGATTATCTTACCTCACGCTGCAGTTTCTGATTTCACCACTAGATGTCACTTTTATTTTAACACTAGCTGTAGATTATTAAAATGTGTCTCAAACACGTCAGTTTATCTTTTACATTCAGGAGTTACACCTTTTTTCATTATCTTAATTATACTATATTTTTTTAATTATATATTTGTTTATTTTAAACTATCTAAGAAGTTACTTTCTCTGAACTATTCACGAGAATAAAACCCTAAAAAACGGACACTAAAACTACTCAAATTCCGCATTTTGTTTAAATAAAAACTAAATTAACAAACCAGCTTCAAACAAATATTAAAAACAAAAATCAAAGTGAAATAAAAACAAAAACTAAATTAAAAAACCTCCCAGACCACAACAACCCAGCAGTGTGCAGGACTTTCTCTGCCACATTTTGCGAAACTACCAAATGTTGGTTGCCATGGAGGTCCAGTTCTGTTGCCATGGAGTTCTAGTTCTGTTGCCATGGTAACAATCGAACGTTCGATTTGAACTGGAAACGAGTTTAAAAAGTGATCAGTTTGTTTCTGAGCTTCTCCTGCTGACTGACACGTCCATGTGGTATTTAATCTCTTTTATTTAACATCTTTAGATTATTCACTTGTGTTTTAATCTATTTAATCTATTTAATCTATTTAATCTGTTTAACGCAGCAGAGCATTTTAATCTTCATCTTCCTCCCTCAGCCTCTCCCCTGCCTCCTCTCGGCTAACCGGGCTAGCTAACGTTAACTCCGCGTTACTGAAATGTTCGTTAATCTGAAACAATAAAGAATAAATAAGAGCTCAAAGTCAGGCTTCCGGCTCGGTTAACAACATGAACATAAATCCCAAACCAGAAGAGAAGGATACAAAGTAGACCGAGAGGAAAATCAGTGCACAGCAGTCCACTAGCGACAGGATGAACACTGCCGCCTCCATTTTCTTCTTCCGTGTCTTTCACTTCCGGTCTCTGCGTCATCATTGCGTCACTCACTGATACTTATCTACAGGACTGCCACCTGACGGAGTGGAGGGGAACTGCGACTGTTGTAATTATATACGCCTGTTAAAATGTAACTGAAGTAACTATTATTATATATAAATATATATTATATGTATATATAGATAACATTTAAAATGTATAGACCCCGCCCCCGCATCTATATCTATTTATGTATCCCTTTATCTTTTTAATATATTTTTTTTATATTATTATTTAAATCGCACCTTTAATGTTTGCACTGACTGTTATTTAAAGTCTGTTTTTTGATAATTTTATTTTTTTAAACATTGCTAAACAATTTTGATTCATCTAGGGGTATTCTTAAATATCTTTTCAGGTTAATATATATGTATGGGGAGGGGGAGCGTCGGTTTTGTGATTTAATTTGTAACAAATGTTTCATGTCATGTACGTGTTTGTAACCTGCTACTGGATGCTTTGAATTTCCCTCGGGATCAATAAAGTATCTATCTATCTATCTATCTATCTATCTCTCTCTCTATCTATCTCTCTATTTTTTACACTGGTGTCCTTCATGTTTTCATCAGTCTATGGTTTTCATATATAATTAATTCCTCACACCAAGTAGCTCTAAGGCTCAGTCGTCTGCAGGGACTTGGAAACCGAAGGGTCACCAGTTCAAGTTCCGATGCAGACCAAAATATAGAGGCCCTTCCTGAGAACTGCAGAGGTGCCCTCGAGCAAGGCATCAAACCAGTCCTGTGTAGTAGATCCACTCTGACATCTCTCCATAAGTGCAGGTACACAGGTTTGTGCATGTGTGTAATGTAGTAATTAATTCTAAATTAATTAATTAAATTCAGGCTCATCTGTGTGAAAACCTGTCTCGCAATATCAGAATGTAAAACCAGAATTTCCCCTCTGGTATTACTGTTTTTCTCAGTCACTTTGGTACATTTCTCAGATCAGAATTGAAATTCTCAAAACTACTTTCAATCTTCACATCATTGTGTCACTTGTGCACATCAAAAAAAGCAGTTTCTAATTTCTTTGAACAAGTTGCAAATGCTTTGGTACATCCATGCAAATGATTATGTACAATTCTCTGCTGTTTCCTACATTATCAATGGCTTATGTCATGTTGATCAAAATGTATTATAATGGGTCTCTGTTGAATAGTCTCACCCCCCACAACATTTAGGCATTAGTTCATCACACAAGTCTTTACATGCAAAATGGTTGAACAAGGTGTCATAATAAGTCAAGCATATTTCTATACATTTCCATTAGACTTTTTTTCTAAATCTGTCCTGAATTGATGAATTGCTCCCAGGTGAATCTTGACTTTCTCTAACGAAGGGAAATGTGTGAAGCATTAGATCAACCAATGATCAACCAGTTTTCTGAAATAGCTCAAAGATGCATCTCATGAACCATCAACTGGCAAGTATATATATAGCCGGAGCGCAACACAATGTTACAATGTCTGACAATGGAAGGACAAGGAATTGGACGGGGTCAACAGCCAGAGAGAAGAAGAAGAAGAAGAAGAAGAGGAGTGAGGCTGCGTGGCGGAGGAGCTGGGAGGCAAAACAGAGGAAGAGGCAGAAGAGGCCGAGGACAAATGCGTGTTCCTGATGAGATAAGAGCCACACTTGTAGACCACGTTCTCAATCATGGCTTACAATGGCCGAGGCTGGTCGAAGGGTGCAGCCAAATGTTGGGAGAACAACTGGAAACACTGGAAAGTATATGATCGCCAGCCACATACACAGATGACCCTTCTGGCTGCCATGGATGCAGCGTGTGATGACATCACAGCAGATGCCTGCAGAGGCTGGATAAGACACTCTAAAAGATTCTTTCCACGCTGCATCGCAAGAGAAGATATTCGTTGAGATGTGGATGAGAATTTGTGGCCCAACAGACAGGAACGTCAGGAGGTGTAGGAAGACTGCTCTGTAATTCACAGCACTGCATGTACAGTTTTCCCAAAGGAGATTGTCCTATGTTCACATTTCTACTTTTCTTTTTTTCTTTGTGCTATGCAGTGCTGTCTTTTCCTTTATGTATCGCAATGAGATGGTCTGTCAACAAATTACAGCACAAACAGTAAAAGCGTAAATGTGAATCTTGTCCAGTCTCTTGCAATCAATCTCCCACATACACTAAGGTGTAACTTACAATTTACAATCATTGTCATCAGAACTTTAGCCATAGTTTATATCAGAACAGCCCTCCAGAGTCCACTGTTATATTGACAACATGACTTAGTAATTTGACTGTCTTATCCGAACACAATGACATAAGGACTTGTCATTCTGATGGCACTGACATGTTCATTGACACAGATATTTACTTTTGAGAGATGAGCTAAGGATTTTGAGCAAGAGACTGGCTTTTGCAGGTAATCCATGGTGTTTTGCTATTTGTATGAATTGTTTTGAGAAATGCACTTACTGTTTTGCAAATGTCGAGGATGATTCGAGAAATTTATTACTGAGAAAACTGTAATA